CTAGTATTTAGAATCCCACATTGTCAATAAGTTAATGTAACATGACTGTACATATCACCAACAAACGAAGCACCTTCCCGCTGCTGGACATATTGCAATGAAACAAAATATATTTAATTTTGTAAATTCAAATTGAAACTTTTTGGGATGTAATATTTTTAAGCTTATCTGCAAGACAAATTGATCGATGTGATGTCGATGCTGTAATTTCATTCCTATCTGAAACAAAATCTCTTCCTAAATTGATAGTTTGTGGTGTAGAAAGCGAATGTAATAACCTTGGGGAAGAGTGTAGTGATCAAAAGTTGTTAGTTTTCTCCAAATGTACGTGCTTAGAGAGTTCCTATCTCACTTAACTTGAATGGTAGACTTTATGCTATAACCGTTTGCCCTTGTAGTGTATGTATTTTGGAGGATTTCAAGGTTTACTCGAATATGCATTGTTTCTCTTTCAGAAGTAAATAATTCGTATACAACATTCGAGACATCCATATGCCATAAAATGTACCAATATACAGGAAACATCATATTTGTATTTGCTGTCTTTATAGGTCAAGCTTGAAAAAATAGAACAGAGGTCTGTCATCTGTTCCTTCAGATATTTCACAAGAGGCTCATGTCACGCTAGTTGCAGACGACATTTTAATCACAGGAACAAAAAAAATATGTCAATTATTCACAAATATATTTTTCCTATAATTCCCTTGGGAAAGGCAGGGAATGGCGGTAGAGGAAGAAGGGTTATACAACATCTTGTCCTATTTTACTTCTCGGTCTTCCACTGTCCCTTATCCCATCTATTTAATAATTCATAGCCATGGATGGAACTCTGATCATTGTCATTTTTCATCAATTTTTCTACCATTTTATCTTATTTTCGAGAATGTTTTTGGTAATTATTTGGCTTTAAAGCATTTATTTTATTTATTTATTATATTTTATTTTTATTTTATGACGGTCTGGGGGCCATTAGGAAATTTTAATTTTTGGGGTACCTTGCATGAAGTTCCTTGTACATTTTAAAAATTTTCTGAAAAGGGCTGTAAATTTTTGCCATTTTCAGTTCGTGTATTGGAAATATTTTAACTCGTGGCTTTTAGCGCGGTTAGTAAGGCGTACGACATAAGGCACTTTTGCAGAGTGCTTGACAGATTTACGACATGACAGGTCTGCTTTCCAGGAAGATGCAAATGTTGCAAGCGGTAGTGCATACCCAAAGGGTTATGTGTAGGGTAGAGCTTAACAGATGTAACTATCATCTTAAGAATTATTAACTACAAAAACTAGCAGGGGCACATTACTTTGGAATACCCGCGAAGCTTTTGCGTAGAAACGTACGTCATTAAGGTACACTCAGCAGTTTCATTTCTTTTTATTGAATTAGCAGATTACGTCGTGGTTGAAGAAAGGCAATCAATTAGAATGGAAAAAATCTTTATCAACGGAAAAATTCTTACATATTTATCAACACTTTCTTTATTGTAGTTTACTCATACGTTAATGTACTAGAATATAAACATTCGTTGATAGGAGTAAATTGACAGCAACAACACGAATAAAATTTGAGAGGATAATTGAATCGGTAAATAATGTTAGTTATACATTGTTTAGTCTGAAAGGAAAAACGTAACAACACGCAATATGATCTAAATAAGGATAATGGATGTTATTACTTCTTATTCCATTTTCCCTCATTATCTTCGTTACACTCGAAAAGTATGAACTGGAGGACTGTCAATGCAAGCCTCACAGTGCTTTTTCTGACAGATGATTGACAAAAACAACGCTCTTCCTAGATGAAATTATATTTCCTTCAAATTCATAACAGGAAAATGGTAATAACAAAGATTCGCGATATTTTCAATGATTGCTTGCTTATGATTTTTTGTTCGCTGTTTGTCGTGAAGTAGGTTTGAAACGTCTTTAACGCTTGAAACAAAAAAGAAGAAGAATAAACATATAAACAAAGTATATTATCATAAAAAAGGGAAACTGAGACAAAAAGGAAAACACTAAAGGGACCCTTAGGGATAAGTGCTCCGGCATCCCCCGAAGACGTTGCCCAACTAAATCTGATCTGAGACAATTTTTTTAAAACAATTTGACAACACTCTAGATCTCGATATAAATAACAGAAAGTCGTTATACGAGAAATATGGCGAAGAAAAGTCAGTATCAGAAGACCCCGAGTTTCAATGTATTAATTAAGGTCATTTTTTACCGCAAGTATGGGAGTCACATTATATGAGTTTCTCGCCTGCAGTAGACAAAAAATTGGTTCCAGGGGAATTTCCTTTCCCGCGAGTGTGAGTGCGAGTGCGAGTGAGTAAGAAGAAACCACAGTGTGAGTCGAATGACAGTAAGGGTTCCTCTCAAGAACTTGTGGCAAAGACTGAATATCAAGGGAGTTCCGTCCGCGGAAATACCATTCCAGAAATAACTCAGCTCGTCTATGAAAGGAAAAAATCTGCTCCCTCTTTTTCTGTGTATTGTTTTCTGGAAGATGATACTGCGTGCGGTCCGCCTAAATATCATTCATGCTAATGTACTGATCGTGATCAGGTAAGAGTTCAGGGGGATTTATGATGTATTTGGCAATGCGTAAGGCTCATTTCCAGGGGTCGAATTCTGATGACATGTCATCTTTTCGTTAGTGCATTTAGAAGTTGCTAACTTGTAAATAAATGTTTTTCTCATCCTATATGTGATAGAAATGTATAGTTATTGGCCGTTTTTGTCATTTTTTGACATTTTCAATTTAAAGTCAGTTTTAGACATTTGCGTAATTTTTGTAATTTTACGTATTTTATTTTTTTCGTGTTTTTTGTTTGTGAATGTTTCATGAATTTACATTGACAGACGAAAAGGTTTTGTTGTATCCATCAGTTCGTGACGAAATACTGCAATGGACTCTGTTTATCGATATTTCAAAATTATAAGGATCTTCGGTAAATTCCTCGAAACTGACGGTTGGAAGATCGGAGCTAAGGATTATATTTCCTCCTAAAATAATTTATATTAGGTATAATTTTATATAAATAAATTTTATTTAAAATTGTTAAATTCATTGAATGAATGAGTACATGCATGCACATTTTTTTGTATCTTAAAAAAATACATTTCCCCTTATTTTTAAGTAATTTATTAGGTAATTTTACAATTATCTTTAAGTCATTTTAAAGGTAATTTTCAAATAATGTTTAGGTCACCAGAATCCGAGCCCTGCTCATCACGAACTATGACAAGGTTTAAGGCCATCCATAATACAGTCGACTCTGGTTATAGTGAACTTCCAGGGACAAACAGGTTTGGTTCACTATATTGGAGGTTTACTATATCTGATGATGTCAAAATTAAATAGAATTTTTTCACTATGATTGATTTTATTTCTTCAGATATACAGCGAAATTCATTAACAGCATGAATTAAAAATTTCAATATTTTTATTTGTGTTTGAAAATCAACTATTTACAATTGTTTGCTTCGTACATTTTTCATTAGTAATTTCTCTAGACCCTTCTCCAGAGTTCGTGCTCTCTCCATGCTTGATTGTGCATTATCCTCTGTCACTAAGAATCGAAGTATGGTCTTGACACCTTTCAACGCCTCTTACACTTTTGGAACACGGTCCCACTGTCCGCAGGTCCTTCAACTCGCCTAATAAGATATGAGATCCAATTAATTTCCAGGACTTATTTCTTATGATCACAATAGTCGAAATTCAGAGTCTCAACAACCGAATGTTTATTTATGTTTATTTGTACTGTAAGTGAAACGGGACCAGTGACTTAAGTTCACTATAACTGCGAGTTCACTATATCCGAGTTCACTCTAATTGGAATAGACTGAAGTTCGTGTCTTGACCGAGCGTTGAAATCTCTACGTTTCGGATTCTTTGTCCAAAAGAAATATTCTTAAGTCAGTTCCCAAATGAGATTCTTCGTTATCAAAGCACTTAGCAAATGATGAGGTTGTTGAACGAAAGTCCTCGCATCCCTTAAAATTCATGAGAGGAAGTGTCTGAATGAAATCTAACGATCAGGATCAGACCTTCACCAACACATTTCGCCGTTCACTTTTCCTTTCTCTTCTGTTGTTTAGCAATACTCTCTGTAGTTGAAACGAATATTCACTGTACAAACACGTATTCTGTATTGAGTATGTGCAAGAGATTGATTTTTAATAGCCACGAAAAGGCCGCGAGGGTGAGGGTGAGGGCAACTGACCCGACAGTTCAAGGGGGGTAAATACAGCACAAAGAGAGGGAGGTGAAACTGACCTCTGGATTGCACACACGTACTTAAATAATTTAAATTTTATCTGGGCTTGTGGATGACATTTTTGAAGAAAATGAGAGCCATTTCGTTACCTTAGTATTTTAATCTACATTATTTGTTATGCTTTCCGTTTCTGGTCATCACGGTTTCTGACATCACATCGTTGCAGTTGATGAACATGTTACAAACGTAAGAGGCTAAACGTCAACTCTTGCTGAACAAATACGTGTAGAGTTTGAATGATTCATAATATTAAGTAAAATGTTTTAAAATAGTGTGATGTAAAGGTTATAGAATACTTTTGCAATTAAACAGTTCGTAATCATAAACTCTCAATTGTAGCTCTTGTAGAGAACAGCAAGAATACAACGTCGGATTAACATGAAAGCAAGGTTACTACTCACATTTTTATACTACATTTTGTTTGAACATAGAAGGATTCAAATAAATATCTAGAGCAGCTTCAGAACTTATGTCAAGGCTGTGATCACAATACAAGTTCTGTGGTCACGGAGTAAAAGTTTGCATGTCAATTTTTGGCGAAATTGGATTAAGTACTAAAACGACAAGTGAAGTATCTATATTTTAGTAAAACGACCAAATTCATGTTGTCTCCTCAACGACAAAACAGCGTTGGAAAATATAAATTAATCGGCTTAATAAAGCTTAAGGCTCTATAATAATCTAACTCTTTTTTCTCCAAAGTAAGATTTTTGACTTCAGAACTTTTACTCCGCGACCACAGAAATCACGAGCGAACTCCTGAGCAAGAATCCGGCAGCTGCGCGCCGTGTGCGAAGGCGAGGCAGGTCGCTCGGGTTGAGAGCGCGGCGGAGGCGGCGGGCGGCACGAGGCGCGCGGGCGTGAGGGGCGTGGGCCAACCGGCCCCGAGCGGGCGATTTCCCAGCATCCTCCGCGGCGCGGCGCGCGCGCGTGGGGCCCGCGGCGCCCCGCCGCCAGTCCTCGACAGACCACCGCGGTCAGCCGCATGGCCCGCTGGAAGACGCCGAACAGCGCCCGCTTCACGTGCCTCCCTCCTCCGCCCCGCCCCGCTCCCACCTCTGCCGCCTCTTCTCCCCGACCCTGCGACGGCGCAGTGGCGCGTGCTCCCCCGGCCGGCCGCGACGGCATGGCGACTGCTGACCGCCCGCTGACCGGATAAACTCCACGGCGCATCCCATCGTCTCGGCGACACTTCACTCTTCAGTTCGGCCGCCAGCGAAGGTAAATGACGCTCGCGCGCGTCGCGTGGTGTCGGGCGAGGTGGCGCCCCGCTCGCTCGAGCGCACCGTTCCGTCGTTCAGCCCCTGGAAGCACTGGAGTGCAGTTCTTGAGCGCGCTCCGGTCTTTCATCCTGAACAAAACCGCTCTATCGGCATGCAGCGGTTTGCTTTCTCCGGCTTCAAGGTCCTTGCAACATGACACAGCTCGGCGCCTGTTCGGTTTAGGCGAACACCTGTTCAACGGTTTCCAAATTTTGTGGTTATGTTTTTGAAGAATGTGACGTAACGTCGGACGTTGGCCGTGGCGAGCGCTGCGATTTATTGACAGCATTTCTTCCCAATTTTCAAAAATCGTGATTTCTTGTATATTTCAATCGGACGTTTCTGACCCCTTGTTGGCTAATATATTGTGAAAACAACAGAATAGAGCGGTTCGGACCGTTCTCAAATACCTCTTAGAAATCGATCGTGACAGTTCGCCAAGTTGGCGCCAGTCAAAGAGATAATGCTCAAAATGTCCAAATTAGTTCGTTTTCATTTCGTTCGGAGATCACGTTACGTAATTTTCAAGGTCTCCTTACACGGAATTGTTGGAGTTGGCCCAACGGGCTTGAGAGAACCCAGTGGCAGTTGAACACATGTTTCGCGCAGATTTCACTTCTCCTTATACGTTCACAACAGGTCTAGATGACCGCGGGCAGAGGCTGATCTCGGCGCAATGTTCCCCGCTCCATTCCAAAGCCCCGCCTTCCGCTCCACGGCGGTTTCTCCGTTGCGTAAGCGGCGAGGGATGAAATAATGCCCGCTAATTTGTTTAAAAACATTCAGAGCACGCAGCTGTCACAAAGACGAAACTGCGCACGAACTCCATGAACTATTTACTAAGCCGTAGATCCGATTTCGAATATCTGTAGTGATTTAGAAATCGATGTTTTCAATCCATTGTATTTGAGTTTGTTATTGATCACCTGCTGGGTGAAATACTTTCTACAAAGCGCGCGACCTTTTGCTCCAAATAAGTCGTGTTCACTTGACGCTAAATATCTAGAATAACTTCACTCTCCAATTCTTATCTGACTTGTTGAGATGTTGATGGTGTATTTCGTGTTGCAAGAATTCAACAGAGATGGCGTTTTCTCTGGTGAAATAAGAAGTACTTTTATTGTTTTTAACAAAAAATGGAGCAAAACCAATTGATAAAAACGCACATTTGAAGACAGAATATCTATTTCAGTGTTCGGTAATCATTGCATTGTCTAAATGAAAAGCCAATGCTCGTTAGTCAGTCGTTGTGCTTCAATATTTGAAATATAATGCTAACAACTCACATTCCTGTTAATTTCGGTGGAGGAAACGCGCTTTAGCCCAAATTCATTATACGTTATGTTTAATTTACATGGCGGTTCGTCACCAAATGCTGATATCTTTGCATGGGGCTTGTCGTGCATTAGATCCACTTTGCTTCCCGATAAATCTCTTCCGCCGTGAGACGTACTTCTTTGTTTTGCAACATCCGCGCTAGATAAAAAAAAAGAACTCGCCGCCGTGTCAAAGACCGATTAACCCGTGAAAGAAATTGCTTTTTTCCGCTGTTTGCGCAAATGCTCCGGACGCCCGTATCGTTTGCGTGTTACACAATGCGTGGCGTGCATTATGTATGTGGGCGGTAGCGTCAAGGCGTCTGGGAACGCGCACTGCCTGTTGCTCTGGGTAAATCTCGCGTCGGCCGCAGGGCTCGCACCAACACTTCGAAACTCCAGAGGGCGGCGCCAGCGATGGGAACTGCGATTGCAGCGCAAACGACGTCTTCAGACGTCTTTAGAAATGAACGCTACCCAGCTCTTCTGTTTTTAACGTTGCTACAACACAGGATTTTGTGTTTAAAACATGCTGTTTTGTGTTGAATACTGCGTATAGAATATTGTATTGCAGCGTTGCTTTAGAGAAGTATACATGAAATTATATTTTGGACCCTTCATCTCTCATCGACGATTTTATTCTTTCTTTGTATTCCCTCTAAAGGAACGCGATACTTTAATATAATTGTTATCTCCGCAGACTATATGATTAGGTACCAATTTGAACTTTGACTTTTTAGTATTATTATTTTGATTACCTATTTCGTTAATAGGGCCTGAAATAGCTACATAAACCTTTAAATCCTTGATTTCTCGACAGGCCTCGCGCAATAGAAAGTAATGTACGAGTCTTCAAAATTAATTTAGAATACCTCATATATCCATATTTCAATCCCAAACTTCAAATGGTAAATCTTGATTCAACCTTTTTGAACGTCAGCACGTAACAAAATCCGTCACCGGATTTAAACTCTCGCCTCACGAAGCAACATGGCAACGTCTACGATTATTTCCGTTAGCGGGCGCCAAAAAAGCTCGGAATGTCGATTCAGTGGGCAACGTCGGCGCCGGCGCGGGTCGGCCTCGCGGGGCGGGAGCGGGGGCGTGGGCGTGGGCGGGGGCCGGGGGCGTGGCGGGGCGGGGCGGGGGCGGGGCGGGGGCGGCCGGGCGCGGCCGTCGTAACAGAGGGCGGAGGAGGCCTTGCATTGAGGCGGTAGGCAGCGGCGCACAGTGATCCCAAGGGACACCAAAATCGCAATAGCGTATTCTGTTGCGGTTTTCATGTTAGCATTCTTCACAAATTTGGGAAAAATCATCGCATTAAAACATACAAATATTTTAAAGGGAAGTATGAAATTTTTCCGTTTTGCAGAAACTTAAAAAATATTTCTGTTTATTGTTTATATTATTTTTGGTTGTATAACGAAGTAATTTCAAAACATTTTACTCCTTTACGTAGTATATTTTTCTAGGAAGTTTCAAGAAGAATGACAATAATTCTTTTAAGAACTCATACTTTACTTTTTTAATCGATAACTTCAAAACAGCATTCCAGCCACAAACGGCTAGAATGCCACGAAGTTGCTAGTAATTCATTCGACGTTAATATTCAATCTGATTCCAGTATTCACACTTAAGTTTATATTGTTATCTCCATCTTGAGAAACAATTCTCTCTTGCATCCTTATCAACATAAATTTGCGCAGATTGACTTAATAGTTTTCATCATATTTTTTATTTTCTATGTTCGAGCTGGGCCTAAAGACCATTGCCGACAGATTCAGTATTTATGTCAATCTGCAAAAGTTTCGAATTTTGCGGTAGAAAGTTTCCTATTTGTGCTACGTTACATGTTCAGTCCACTAAGGCTTAGTAAACAGCGCCACGCCGCTTCGCGTGGGCGCATTCATTTTACTAGTGAAAGATTTAACGTGCTGCCATAATTTCCATTTACATACGGAACGAAGTTATGATGAAGGGGAATCGTGCAGTGTCAATGCCAAGTTCGTGCGATATTTTAATGAAGTTTATACTTCTTTGTAGTTAGTGCTTACTGCGGCTCGGTGAAAGCTGTCTTTACCGTCTCCGCTAGTGGAGAGACTGGTCTCCCCGTATATTTATCTCTGTATTTTGGGGGAACCTTTTGTACATATCCTGTAAGTAAAGAAAACAACTGCTTAGGTAATCAAAAATCCCTCCTCCTCTCCTCCTTTCAGCTGAGGCTGGTGAATTGTCCCTGGCGCGTCCCTTCCGCCACCTGTCTCGATTTCCAATCCCCACATCGATACAGCTGGCAAACCCCTATTTATCGAGTGTGCTTGTGACCTGTTTCAAGCGCAGCACGCAGCTCTTCCTTGCTAGACTAAAGTTAACGGGTGGAGAAACACATCGCACCCACTGGGCAGCACTGGTGTGCTTCCTGAGCCAATAGGTAGCAATCGGTTCCGCTAATTCCGGGATATTCCTCTACTAATTCACAAACGTTTTGTACTTAGCGACAGGATTAATTTGATGGTTTCGGGTTTCAGACCAATTTCTGTGATCATTCATTACGAAAATGTAGTGCATGTTGTATCGCTGGAGGTGGCGGTGTTCATTACTCGCTGGAACGGGAGATTCCGCGACATACTACATGTCGGCTTTTGGTGATTGTTCGACATGTTTGATAGTGTTGTGCATAAGTGTGTGTGTGTGTGTGTATGTGTGTGTGTGTGTGTAAGGAAGGGGTGAGAGTAGGATAAAGAAGAAGAAGGAAAGATCGCGCGCGGTCCATGGTCTGTTAGTGAGGATACTGCTCCAGCATTGCTCGGAGAAACCACGAGAAGTACTGATTAGAGCAGTCGACCTCTAGGATTCTCCTCCAGACAGCGCACCTGAATTCGAGCTAGCTATCCTGTCAGGGTCAAAAACCCTGCTAGATCGGTTGTTTTCCGTGTTTTCTCCTATTAATACCAGGTGGTCACCGGAGCAGTACCCTAACAAAAGGGCCACGGATCGCGTGCGATCTTTGCTTTCTCTTCCTTGTCCTATCCTCATCTCTTACACACACTTACACGAACATGCAGTACACTACCACACTTATCGGGAGGCCGGTCGGGAGCTTAGAGCTTGTCCCGGTTGGGGCGGTGCCCCGATGGGGGGAGATACCTGGTGGGAGAAAACCCCGCTGGCCGACAGGTAGGTCGGCACCGGATCTCACCTTTCAGGTGGAGAAGATTACCGCCTCCTCCAGACGAAAACACATGAACTACACTCACGGAACGATGACCTTAGCAGTTGACGCGTTTGGAATCACTAATAAATCAACCAATCAATCGAAAATCCTGCCCCCCCCCCGTGGGGGCTCGCGATTGGCGGCAGGCCGCGTCGGTCGCTTTCGGCGCGCCCCTTACGGCCAGCGCGTGGGGGCTCTCTCGCGGTCGCCCCGCCCCCGCGCCTCTGCCCTTCTCCGGCGCCATCGAGCAGGTGTTGCTTCAGGGCGCGCGATGTGCGCAGTTCCCAGCCCGACGCGCCTCTCGCGCTGCTTTCATCTCGCACCACGCCCGGCTTTGGCGTTGCTTCAAGCTCCCACTT